TACGCGTTGGGATATGTTATTGATGCGTGCGCGGGGATTATTTTTCACCGGGTGCTGTGTATATGATATCACCTTTATCAGCCGAGAGGTCGTGATCAAGGGCAATTTAGCGAACGGGCAATGTGGATGGGGTGGGTACAGGTATTCATAGAACTACACCAACGCCATAAATCATCACTACAACGTCATTTATCACCAACTGTTTGAGTTAGTTTGCCACGATGTCCTAGGACAACAGGGACATCGTTGTATAACTTTGGGCGATAGCTGTTATTCAACGAAGATGGATGCTTGACTGATTGTACGGTATGAAGAGCCGGTGGCTCCCGTGTACGCACATTTGTGTAAACATCTATGACCATTTGTGGAGAGCAGTTGAACCGTATAGCCCAAGGCATCTACATATATATATGTAACAATACTGATGTTGCATATCCGGTGGCAAGAGTGACAAATGCATTCTAGAAGATCCTGTGGACTCTCTCTCTTGTATATAGTCTGCGTCTTTCTCCTTCTCTCTCTCTTCTCTATTTCATCACTCTGTACCTTAGTCTATGCACACGATTCTCCCCTTCCATATCACAACAACTGTGTTACTGTATGGGGAGAACCGTGTGTATAGACTAAGGTACAGAGAGAAGAGAGAGAGAAGGAGAGAGACTCGAGATATATACAGGAGGCATCAGCCCCGGTTACAGCCAGCTGTATCAGACCCTTGTATATATGTAACAAACTGATCCAGTGAACGTTCGAGTGATTCAACATGAGTTGTATTGTACTTGTTGTTTATTCATACTGTATTTACTCTAGCTAGAGTATTAGTTGTATTGTACTTAGTTTGCAACCTCACCACATTCACAATTTTCTCTAAGACCAACAATACCTAGCTACCGAGATCTGATCCACTGTCCGCACATATAAACCTACAAATTGTGGGAATTGGCAGGTTTCTTTTATCGTATCAAGTCGGCAAAGGTACAGATTCCGCGCGAGTGCATTTGTGATGCCCTATCCCCTACACACTCGGGTTTGTCGAACTCATCGCAATGGCTATATCGGGGCTAGTGGGTAGTAATAATCAAAGGGTGGCGGAGTTTATGATTGGTCAAAAGAGTACTGTGACCAATTCGACAAACCCGAGCGTGTAGGGGATAGCATGTCAAGCAGATACTTCCCTACAAAGCAAACCCAGAGCCAATTCTGGTTCTTATCATGGAAGATATATCGTGCCTGGCAATACCGGTTGGTTTCACACTGCAATGGGTATTATTTAATTGTCGTGAAACACGTATCTTATTGCGTACACGCACATGCACTTCAGCTGCTCCTGGGTGCTAGCAGGCAGTGTTTGCCGACCGATCAAGTGTCCAAAATTGTGAGTATGGTACATAGTCAGAGTCCTGGAGTTCAATCCTTTTGATCCTTCATTCATCGGGATTGATACCGTCCGTTGGTTGACAAGTTAACAGAATCGGATGTTCATAGCTGCTACAACCTAATTATGCTCACAAATTATCCAATGGCTTTATTATGCGCAACACCACAACCACTGTCATTATGCTTAATATTTCTGATACAGTCACGCGCTGGCCAACAGTTGGTGTTTCCTGGGATAGTTGTACTCGGGTATGGTGTTAAGAGCAATGTAAAGAGAGAACTGATTGTCTACAGTACAAAGTCTAATTAATTGAAAGAATGAAGAGAAGAGAAAAAGGCATACTTATATAGAGAATGGAGAGGCACCGCCAGATGCCGAATATCATACTGGGTCAAGGCGGAGAAGTGCTTGGACAGGAGACATCACCGAGTGGGGTCAGTCAATTAGTAGACGAAATCGGGAATGTTTGAGCCTTAATCACGCAAATATCTATGGGAGCAGGGATTAAACATTTCCGATGTATCCGATTGACGCTAACAGCGGGACGATCGGATGAACGACACGTGCAGCACAACAAGTAAAGTACCGTATAGTTATGGTGCGATATTACAATATCAGCCACGAAGAAAATCCGATAACACATCACAGATTGCCAGCTGATATTCGCGCTGTGTTGTTATTTGCAATGGCGTCATTTCTACTAGTACTAATTGATTGAGCTGAGGCTATCTGTTAAACCGAACCTTCTCTCGACTGTCTAATCTAAATGACACGTATGGAGAACTTAAAGTACAAGCAGCTCCGCGCTCAAACCTAACCCAAACCACGTGATGACGAACTCAACAGACCGCTCCAACACTATCGTGGGCAGGGCGAGGTGCATTCTTATATCATACTGTCGACAACATATGCTTTCAAGTAGGTTTTTTGTACCCCATAGGTACCTATCAACATTCGGAAGATGAAAATACCCCACGGCCTTATGACAATCTTCAATGGAGGGGCAGAGAAATTGTCCAGGATGAGGTTTTGATTAGATAGCAGATAAGATTAGATAACGCGATTGGGGCATGTTCGAGTTCGGGCGTCATCTCATGGTTTGACAGACATTAAGACGCGGATTAGATATTGGATTCCGTTTCTTTATCGGCCAAAAGAACTATGGTATTAGAAATTTACCGTAAGTTGTATTGATTTTTGTTCCTGTGTACCGTACTCGTCAATGTTCGTACACAGAGGGCTCGTCCGAAGTGATTTGATCTTAGATTCAGCTCATTCTTCCGCCTGGAATTAATGGTTAAAACCCTGAGGCAGAAATTCGAAGATTGAAAGAATCCTCGCAAGAATTGCTACGAATCAACAGATGAAGCTCATGATGTTTCTGGTGCCCGTTTATAGTCACCACTTCTCATTGGCAAATACGTGCTAATCCTCAATATCTATAGGTTGGTCAGATGCTGCTTGAAAAACCAGCCTTGGCATAGGCCGGAAACAGCCGGGTCTTATAAAGCCTGGGTATAGCGTGATAAAGGATTTTCCAATTACAATGGGGAAGAATCGGAGGATGGGTAATGATTGGCGGATTTGGAAATGGTTGCTGAATGGCCGGAGGAGTTGGAAATATTAGTCTCATAATGTCGATGCCACAGGTGATAAAGATGATTTGCAAAGGGTTTGCCTATCCGTTCTCGGTTGCAGGGTTGGCTGCGCTTTGAAACTGAATCCTTTAGCTTTTCGCTCAAGTTTATAGCTGTGATTGGGTTGACGGGTGGCGGTAAATCAACAGCCATCAAATTGATCCCTGGGCTGGATGTACAGGTTGCACATGGTATCAACAGGGGTACGGTCATCTTCCTGCTAAACTTCTGTGCTAACGATCTCAGGTACTACTTCTTTCGCTATGTTCCCTGCACCAGAGATACATTTTCATCGATACCCCCGGTTTCGATGACCCCTTCCGAGACAATTTCGCTCTGTTCAAAGAAGTTTTCACCTAGTTCAGTACCATGACCCCATACTGCGACCTCTCTAGAGTTCTTTATGTCTACGATATTACTGCTACTCGTTTTACCGCATCGGTGAAACTAAACCTCGATATGTTGACCACCATGTGCAGAGAAAGGTTTTACAAAAACAGCATCATCCTTACGACGAAGTGGTGCACCATAAAACCCGGTAGTCCGACAAGAATGGCCGAGGCAAGGCAAAAGCAGATGGAAGAAGATGCGTGGAAATCAATGATAGATGGCGGAACGAGAATTCATCGGTACAACGGCGTGGTGGAGCCTACAGAAGGGTAACAGTTACGAGAGAAGGAAAAATTGGAGCTTGAAGAGGAACGTTTAAAGGCCGGGCAGGAACTCAGGAACATCATGGCTTCCTGTACGCTGAAAATATTACACCAGAGATTTAGAACGAGCTGAGGAGGAACGTGCCGATCATGCATACAAAAGCTGCGAAAGTCTTGTTGCAGAAGACAGAATCTGAGAATGAAGGGCGTTTAAACACGCGGGGTCCACCGCCACCTCCACCCCCACGAATATCTATATTTACGTGGATCGAAATCCTTGTGAAAGCTCTTTTTTGGTTTTTCACTCGACATTAATAAGAGAGTCAGACAGTCTGGTAGCTTTGAAGTATATTTTTGTGGCAATCAGTTTCCCTACCGGTGATGTATCTATTTAATAAGAGATTCTGTTTGGAAATACTGGCTACAGCGCTCGAGAGTTTAAGATAAATTGTGCTATATTAAGCAATGATTCCACCAGTCCGGACGGACCCAGTCTGGGGTAGGGCTCAGTCCAGTCCAGTCCAACCTTCTGGCTGGACTGGACTGGACCACAGACTGGCAGTCTTGGACTGAACGGGCTTGGTCTGGACCAGTCCACACATGCTTACAATTTCGATATTGTTTCTTAGTCAAATACCACCGAAAACATGACTCACCCTCACGTTTTATCACCGGTCATCTCTGAATACCTACTCTTGGCGAAATCATGACTGTTTTGTCTGTATTCGAGATATATTTCTCCCATTAAAAGACCGATACACTCAGAAATATACCCTAACCCTAGACACTGTGCTGGACTGGTTCACACCAGTCCAGTCCAGTCCAGTCCTGGTCCAGCAGAACTGGGGATTGGTCCGATCCCGGTCCAAAAATTACTCGGACTGGACTGGACTGGACTTGGACGGTCCCGGTCCGGACTGGTCCATTGCTGGACTGGTGGAATCATTGATATTAAGTTGGAGCTGGCTTGATCTGCTCGGGTTACAATGTGCCCAAAGCATGTGACACCACTCTTTATTTAGAGCCCCATTTCGGTGCCGTGTCTCTAGACAGTCAGTTCTTTCAGTCACTCCGAGGGTCAAATTTTTCAGCCCTCGCTCATCCAAACGAACTTGCCCAGGTCACAACCCGACGATTTGTTCCGTCGCAATTATTCACGTGATATTTAAGTTCATAAGGTCACGCATAATAAATGTCCCGAAATTTACACTCAGCAGACTTTGTTGCGTCAACTTAACCCAATCTCTCATTAGGTTATTTCGTGACATATCTGTTGCGCCCGCTTTGGAAGCTTCCCAGCAGATACAACTTTCATTGTGATTGAGTAGAGAGTGTACTGGCAAAGAGTCGAACCTAGGACCTTCCTATACTAGACGAATGCTCTACCAACTGAACTATGAGTGTAGATTAACTCATTTTAACAAGGTGGGATAATTTTCAAATATGAAAGGCAGCTACCGAGTAATCTGGGTGAGTGTATATACCTGACACTCCGTCCCTCTATGCCTCTTATTTTTCGCATCCGCTGCCATATCCAACACTACATCCCCTTCCTTTGAATCTGCGATGAATATATTGATTCAAAGCTAGCGTTATGGTTAGCATTCTGGGCGGGGGTTGTTCATGGCTGAATTAAATGGAGCAGCTGTGGTCGCCGCGTCCCGAATTGTGAGGCAAGGAGTACGGATTTACTGTGCTAGAATGATAAAATTATTACAGCCCCCCCACCCCTGCTCTCACGCACCTTTCCAACATTTCACTATTATTAAAAAAGTTATGCTTACTTCCAAGCTACCCTAACCTTCTCCTCCCGCACCAGGTCCTTCCACCAAGCCTTCAACAACTCCAGAAGTTACAATATGATATTGATAACCGTATGGTTTTATATACCTATGATGCCTGTTGATTATATTAACCACGAAAGCAAGGAGAAGAGAGGATGACGGAAGACAACGAAAGGGATGGAATGTACGTTTGACAGGAAATGTAGTGTAAATATAGGAGCGACAAGATATTATACTATAAAGTTATACCAAAAGGAAAGTGGAATCTATGGTACAGGAGATGGAGAAAGTCTATAGATATATACCGAGAATTGTCGGGTATACCTTCGGATATACCCGTGCCAGCCTTCGGAACTTGCCACGATCGTCACTGGACGTTCAACATAATACTGATATGGTGAGTTCATTACATGTACGTTATCAGCGGAAGGTGTTTTACTTTTCTGAAGGACCGTTTCTATAACTCACTATGTAGGCCCGAGTTTTCTCCTCTTCAGAGTCCGCAAGGATAGCCAATGTTGCGCATTATGATTAACGCCATACAGTTGTTGTTGTTGTTGTTTATTCATACTGTATTTACTCTAGCTAGAGTATGACAGGACCCTTAACACCTCCGCCTCCGGGCGAGCCGGTTAGATGGCGGAGCTCCCACCTACTACCCTTCATCCCCGTTAAACGCCATACAGTAGCTGTACGGCATAATTAACAATCACTCGACGAGCCCTCTAACGGGACGGTATCTTCACCCACCACATTTGATCACTGAATCCTGGAGGGTTTTTCGCCAATACACGAATAGCGTAAGCACTGCCGGTGCGATGAATGATTTGGCATAATATGGAGTCGGTGGTGCGAGTATTTGGCGAGTGAAACTTGTCGGGTAAGGATTTGCCGAGAGGTACGGACCCACACCTTATTATGACGTCACTTGTTCATCTAGATTGCTAGGAACTGCCATAAGGGATGTCTCTTAGTGTCACTACATGATATCCCGCGCTTGGCACTTGGCACAACTTGTTGTATGTTAAGTTACATCAAGCGAAGAATGCCAACCCATGAGTTTTAGACAGCAAATCTCTAACTCGTCCATTGCATTTTCCATTCACCGTGATTACAAACATCTGATTCTCAGGTGTTAGTTTGCGGCAATACACCCTAAAATGAATTTTTTAGCTTAATAGCACGTACATCCTGACACAGCCACGTACCCAAGAGGTCTAGGGAAAGTTTTAACCCCCAACCCAGCTCAACAGAATTGAGCACGCGGCAGGCCTCCTAGCCACCTGTACTAGACATCTGCGGTTAGATCATCTCCCTCTAAATGCGCAGACCTCCGGGCTACCATACACGTAGTTCGGAAAGAAAGAAACAATGACAAGGTTTGCATGTATTCTTGCGACTTCGTAAGTCCCACTACAGGTGGGTACGGCTAAAGGGTGAGCTTTCTGTGGATCCGGCGTACGGGAAACACTACCTCCAGGGGTAGCCTCAGGTCAGTGATGTCAACCGTCCCGTCGGACGGCCGGGGAGGTGGGCCGTCCGAAATTTCCCCGGGACGGACGGCACGGCACCAAGGCCGTCCGTCCCGTCCTTACTCCACAATGACGGCATGACAGCCGGGGACTTGCCGGGGATAGTGAAGTCACCGTCCCCGGCACTCATCCACCGTCCGCGGCCGACAACGGGCGGTTACAGTATAAATTGAGATAAAATCAAAAATAGCCCTGAGAGCGCGTGGTAAGAGATATAAATGCACCCGAGGTACTGTAACACATGTATCAAACTACAGTGCTATAGCATGAGTAGGTGCGAATGATGTGTATATAAAGATTGAAGATACACCTGCTCATCCAGACTCTTCTTTATTAATCATCCATTCCTTTATACGAATTTGTTATGTACTCTGAGCAGGATGCATGGATGTCCATGGATGTCTATAGATGACGGCCGGGGGACGGCACTGATGCATCCCCGGCCGTCTTTGCCGTCCGTCCCCGTCCACAATCAAAAAGACGGCACCGTTTCCGTCCTTGGTGATCCCGGACGGACGGGACGGTTGATTTCACTGCCTCAGGTAGGTGATAAAGACCATCGATGGAGGAGATGAGAAGGAAGATGAAAAGAGGACGTCCAATTGACGCTGTACACTCCATATCTCCGTACCTACCCCTCATACAGCAGGCATCACCAGTAACAACATCCACTCAGTTGCATGTCCACTATGTTGATGATAGCGGTCATCTCGTGGTTATACAAATTCTGGTTATTGAAAGACTTTTAATTCTTCTCTATATTTCTCTCCACTGCTCCTCTTCCCCCACGTCCTCCAAACTCCTCCTTGTCCTACCCAAATGACTTCCTAAATTGAATAGTCCCCCACTTTCAGTCGGCCAAGCTTAAACCCTTTCGGGAACTTCATACAACGACTAAGAGCTATCGTGTCCTCCGCAATCTCAATACCTTTAATGCTTGGGGTGTGTCAGCGTATCATCATCGTTAATTCGGTTTTTGTTAGGGCCGTGCACTTACACACTATATGTTCGAAAATGGCGGTCAACTCTCTATTCCCATATCGTCATCACCACATTAATCGTCGGGTCTTGCACTTACACACTATATGTTCGAAGAGTCGAGTCAGTGTCGTTAGGTCACATCCAAATGGGCTAGGGTTTACTTACGTACTGCATGTATCAAGACATGCGTCAGCACCCATATCGATATCACCGTTATCAAGCCAGGTCATCGCGGTCACAAACTTACCCACTACAGATTTAAAGACATGAATAAGTCAGAGAGCTACTCCCAATCACCGTTACCCCATCATGCTTGTCTGAATGATCTACTTACATACTGCGAATTTGAACATACTTGTCAGTACCTAGTTGTTATCGCACAAACAATCATTGCGGCTATCTACTTACACCCTATAAATTGGAATATACTCGTTAGTACTGTGCCTATCTGCTATGGACCAACAGATAATGGGATTGACCACTTACAGGAGCCTGATTGAAGATGCTAGTTAGTATCCTGCTCTTACGTTGTCACCATCCTACAAATCATCATTGTCCACTTACATTCTGCAAGTCTCGTCAGTATCCATCTATCGCCGCACTCAATGTTAACATGGTTATCAACTTACATACTACAATTTGAAGTTAGCCGTCAGCAGTCTGCAGTCATATCATGTCAGAAATCCCCAGGGTTATTCACTCACATTAGGCTGCATATTTAAATTTGAAGATACCCGTCAGCAATCTGCCCCTACTATGGTAACAATTATCGTTGTTCACTTACGCCCTGCAAAATTGAACGGAGTTGTCAGCACTAATTTCTCATTATACCAATATTCAATGGGGTGGCCACTGACAGTCTGTAGAATGAAGATACCCGTTAGTACCTATGTGTTACTGCACCAACGGTCGTTTGAGTTGTCCACTTACAAGCTGTAGTTTTGAAGAATACCGTCAGCCGCTGTAGTCACACCATCATTCCATTAATTTCTGGGGTTATCCACTCACACTCTGCAGATTGAAGATATCCGTTAGCATCCATAGGTTACTACACCAATTATCTTTAAGGTTGTCTACTTACCCGCTACAAATTTATAAGTTAAAGATAGCTGTCAGCGCTTATCGTTCACAATACCAAAGGCTATTTGAGTGTTCACTCACAGTCTGTAGATTGAAGATACTTGTTAGCGCCCATCCATCACAAACAAACAGTCACTGGGATGTCCACTTACACACTACCAATTCGAAGCGGCATATCAGTATGTTGCTCAAGCATTATCGCCGAACAGAATCATTCCAATCATTCACTTACGTCAAGCGAGTGTTCCTGTATAGCGGTCAGCAAACTGCTCCCACATCATACCCAGGTCTACCACATACACACGCCAAATACTGCAATTTTGAAGAGATGAGTTACCACACTTCGGCTACTGCACCTAGTTTTGGGATTGTCTGCTTACGTCCTGTAATTTCGACCATATGCATTAGTATTTTGCTTCTATCGTCACAACGCCGATAGGATTGATCTGTATACTTACACACTTCAGATTGGAATATCCGCGTCAGTATCCTGCCCTTGAATCATCCTGGCGTAAATTGATGGCGGCAATTGGGATCATCAACGTACACACTTCATTCGATGATAAGCGTCAGCACTCTGCTCTGGCATCACCGTCACCATACCCATGGGGGTCGACTTACTGTTCCTCCACTCTGCGATTCAAAGATCCGCATCAGTACCTTGCTTACGAGCATCACCGCCACTGTGTTAATATTCCGCACTTACTGGACATTGTTCCGACTGAGTTTAAAGATATGCGTCAGTACCCGGAAGCCCTCGAACACACCATATCCACAGGACTTTTTGTTCCACATACAGACACACATGCAGGTCTCTATCTTGCGCAATTAGCATGTTACCACATAGCACATAGCGATTAGGGTCATGGTCGTGCACTGACAATGTTACGAGCTGAAACGCAAGCAACAATAAGCAAGCCGACGGCCAAGAGCTTCATTTTCGATATACGTTGTTGTAATATTTGGTCTTTGCCGGAAAGAAATTCGAATCGATGTTTAGAATGCGGTGTTGTCAGGTTGCTGTGCT